TTCCTAGGAAAACAGAACTCGGCCTCTTTGTGAAGGAAAATGGATTTATAATTCAAAATCTTAATTTATCCTTAAATTATTCGAATGAGTAATAATTTATGTTTCTAGATAATTTTCCATTATTTATCCCTAAGGCTTTCACCATGTGAGGTGTGGACATATGTTTTCCCAGGCTGCTTGTCTGTCCTCAGCAGCGGTGGTTGGGGGAGGCTGTGACATAATTCCTCTGGGTAATTTTAGGTCAGAACAAAAGCTGCTTTTGAATTTTCCTTGATGCAGCAAATAGGAAAAGTAAGATAGAAGTGTGCTGTATCATACGTGTAATTAAGAGATCTTCCAGTTACAAAAGAAATGCGATGAGTTGTTGTTCAGATGTTTAAATCCCTGCTTGTAAGAAGTTGAATTCAATTGTCCTGTAAGGTAAACTTGGAAGAAAATATACGGCATGGAATCAGTGAGTCCATGAAGTATCAGGATGGAGTGTGAAGCAAACAACTCGCATGTCTGTAAAAATCCTGGATTATACGATCGTACTATAATTTAAGAATATGTGCATCATACCAACCTAGAAAAGTACGGGAGGGAGCGGGTTACAAAATTCCCATGTTCACAGATAGTCCCATTTTGGAACGACCTGTCTCCGTGTTTGAGTCACACACAGGGAGGGAGTCACTGAATGTGTAGGTCCTCGCACCCTTTGCTTCCCGGCTTGGCTGGTGGATCGCTGTTTCATTTGGTGACATAAAGAACTTTGGACATAACAGAGCAGGACGGTACTTACATTAGTGGCATCTCTTTCCTGTCTCAGCAACGCGGATTATCTCCCACTGGGCTACTCCTCGCTCAGGAACATACTGAATGCAGCCGGAAGGGGGTGAGCAAGAGGTGAAGCTACCCTGAAACCATCCGTAATACTGCCAGAGAGGTTGTTAGACCGAACAGCGCCGGCAGTTACAAACTAGGACAGGACCCCCGCTGTTAATAGCTTAAGTTCTCCGACACTACTAACAGGAACAATAAGAAATAACCGTGGCCACAAGGTGCATACTCTCTTGAACACATATACACCCCACCTTCACGGGAAGCCGTACTGTGCCTGTGTGCGCATACCCGGGACGCAAAGCAGGCCACTTTACGAGACTCTACAAGAAAACGCAGTAAGCATGATGTCCACAGAGCTTGATTTTATTTCACCTTAAATATAATTGCATTTTAAAAAGCTTCAATGAATTCAATGATTTAAAAAAAAAAAAGTCAAAGATACCAACATATTTCTCACTGTCCAAAAATGATTCCACACATTTTCTTTAGCGAAGTCATTTGTAATAGATTTCTGTTATATCCTTAGGTAATCATTTGTATATTCTCTCTATAAATACTGTCAGTCTGTCTAGTGAATTCTGGGGAGAAAAAGGAAGGTGTACATTAATGGTAGTTCTGGTTAAAAAACACAGTTTTAGAAGTGGGAAGGATTTTAATATCATCAAATTCTACTCTGTTCTTACAGACAAGGAGGCGGGAGGGGAGGGAGGGGCTGATGCTGTCACGTTGCACAGAGAGGGCAGCCTGGCCCTGGTGACCCGTCCTGTGCCCACCGCGGAGCAAGCCCAGCTGGGCCACAGACCAGGGGAGACACCCACCCCCCAAGCCTGTTAACTTGGTACAAACACGTGAACAGAACGGTAGGAAAATGCCTCTAGGGTGATTTCACTTTAAACTTGTCCTTTCTTAGAAGAAAGCTGAAATAATGCTTACTATTTCCACTTACGTGGAAAAGGGGAATTGAATTTTTCTTCCCAGTTTTGTAGAGTGTTTTGCAGATCAGCTTTTACGGTGGCTTGAAGTCAGCAAACAGGCCTGTTTTCCGTGTGTCCCCAGCAACTTCCCAGAGGAGAAAACAAACCCTCCCTCCCGACCCCAGTCTGGGAATGGGCGAGTGAGCCTGGACTTTAACACAAAGGGCTGAACCTGGAAGCCCACAGGGTGGCTGGACGCGGAATTCCACGTGTGTGACATCGTCACCTGCTGCAAGCACGCGGGAGGGAAATGAGGGGTCTGGACTTGTGTGGCATCAGGCAGACAGCCAGAATGAGTGCAGTGATTTGAAGTTGGTTGGGCTGGAAACATCCACGCAGCCTCGTAATAAAGAAATGCCCCTGATGTGGCCGTGGCCCGATTCTTTGTGAGGCTTGAGCAGGAGCCGCCGTGTCTGCCAAGCACAGGAGAGAGAGGCAGGCAGGGAACCCGCACGCCTTCAAGCTGCCACCGGGATGAAATTAAACAGCGGAGAGTTTAAGAACAATTGCTTTTTAGCCCTTTAGCAATACTTTTTAATTGGTGTTAAATGTTAACGGTTCCTGTAATGCACTTAGAACAGAAACATATTTAAATAAATAATATTTAGGGATGGCTGGCATTTCTGATTCTTTGTTATATAGTCTAAGCAACCAGGGTTGATGCTACAAAGTAGCAAATACCCAGGGCTTATGAAGCTGAACCGCCTCTGGTTTTACATTGGAGATATTTTTGAAATAAGAAGTATATCCCTGTCTCCTCCGTCCTCTCCCCACAGTTTAATTTATATTAATTGTTTTAAATGGTTATAGACATTTTTGCTATTTTCTTACCATTAAAAAAACCCAAATTTACTGATTTAGTCACTTTCTATCCCATCATTTCTAGACTAGCAGTGAAATCAACATGGATTAATACCCTAAGGCTGATGACAGGTTGGTAGGGTGGCCCGGGCAGTTTAATTAGTGGTTAGTTAGTACCTTGTTCAGTTCTTTAAAATCACCTGGCACTTTCCAGGTAAAAGTTACTGTGGCTCCTAGGTATCAGTAGTTACTAAAGAAAAAAAGAAAGAAAATGGATTATATATGTTGAAATCCAGGAGCTATTAAAAATTTAAAGTTGGAAGTCTTATCAGATGTTATGGGTGAGGTAAAGCTTCTTTCAGAGTCGAGAACATCTTCCACCGGGAATAACGGGCAGGTGCGCCCGCGGTTCACAGTGGCACCTCCCTTTCCAGGTCCTTCCTGCACAGCTGCCTATCTTCCCAGTGACTGGAGGAGGCACTACCTTCACTGGGAGCTGACGGCGGGAAAATCACTGAGCGCAGTCATTTTTGGACACTGCCAACAGCCTCTAATAGGCATTTTCTACTCTATCCTGTTCCATCGTAGGTGAAAAAAAAATCCACAATCAGGAGGCTGCCTTTTTATTTTAGAAAAAAGGGAAAACTAAACATTTCAAGACCAATCAAGATACACAGAGATACTGCTTACATCCGAGCAGCCCACCCACACTGACCTTCCTCAGAGAAACACCAGGGATGCACCCCCCCCCCCATAAGTGAGGCCATCACCTCAAATTCCATTGCTTCAATTCGAATAATCAAGGAACGTGATTCAGAAATAGTAGGACATCCTGCATTTTATTCAACTCCATATGACAAAATAGGAACCTAGACTAAGACATCCATTTTGATCAGCAGGTGTGTCGAGCCACAGATTTCATCATAAAAAATATTGGATCTAGGTAACAATTCCCGCTGCTTCGGGGAGGCCCTGGCCCCACATGGCACGCCAGTAGAAAAATAGTGTCTCTCTTCACCATGCAGAGAGGGGCGGCCTCGCCCTGAACACAGAGGGGTCAGTCTCGCGGTCCTGTCACGAGCCGTCTTATTTACACACTTTACATTTCTCTGAAGTTATATATACACATCCTCTTGGGAGGAGACAGAATCCTACACGGATCAAATACTAACAACAAAAAATTCACGGCAAAAAGGGACACAGATAAATAATAAAAACATTCAACTGCTGAAACACAGCAACAGGAAGCCACCTGTTTCTTTTCCCAACGATGCTGAGACAACCCCTGCCCCCATCCCACAAGGAGGGGCGGCGGCGGGTGTTGGGGACACGACCCCATCCCTCAGAAAACAGGGCTGCGGAGCGAGTTCAGAGTTCATTCCGGACAGAAACAAACTTCGCAGTCTGCTTGGTTATGATTCGTCCACACTGTTCAACGATGTGATCTGCCACTGCAGTGGGTGTGTTGGAAAGATTGTCCTATTTTTCTGTTTCAGCTGAGTCGCTGTCTGATTCCTTCTTCAGGGCACTGGGACCCGACCGTCTCTGGGACAGTGGTGCTAGAAGAAGCCCATAGTCTCAGACTGCAGCCCGATCCCAACACACAAAATGAGGTAGAACAGGCAGCCCCGCCCCCACCGCCAGCCCCGCCCACCCACCCACCCACCTGGCTGCAGGGCGGGTCCTCACTCAGGCAAGGAAGTCACCAGCTGAAACTGGTGTTCTGAGTAATCCGATGACATTGTGCTTTGTTTTCATCTGAGGAGGTAACAAACCCACCAGGAATGGAGCGAATTTCCCGGTTATGACTGATTATCCTGCCAGGCAGATATTTCTCCCCAGTTTACGGACACGAGGACCAGTGCTCACGGCAGGCAGGGCTCCCTTGTGGGTGTGTAAGACAGAGATAGACAACAGTAAGATTGTACCTACACAGCCTCCTCTTAGCTCCTGGCTCCCTCGGTTGTCCCTTCCTAAGATGAATTCATCAAAGATTCGTTAGAGGGGGTCAAGTTCTTAAATGCGCTTTGTAGAAAAGTTAAGTAAGTCATTTTAACTGAAGAAATGGCAGGCCCTAGATTACTGCGGAACTGAGAGGTCTGGGTGGCTTTTCTGTTTTAAGTAGCATTGATTTCTCATGTTGTCTGACCTTAAAACAAGAAACAGTAAGTTTTTTCCCCCCATTTTCCTTAAATCAAAGTACTATTTATAAAATACTTTACATCTTTTTAAATCTTCAAATTATAGACAAACCTCCCTAATACAAAATACTAAAAGTGCAACAGTATAAATTAAGAGTTTGCAACCACATTATACAAACATTACCTCTTTATTGTACAGCTTTGATACGTGAAATATTTACTCACAACGGTTTATAATGTTGTGAATAATTTACGGTGACGCTCGTCTGTAACTGGTTCCCAGTCGCTGGGCCACAGACCACACTAGAGAACAACTGTCCACATAGCAGCTACAAACATTTAAATAAAAATAAAAAAGGCTTGTTACTGACAGGTACTTGCACACAAAAAAGCATGCTATCTTTCCCAGTGGAACTTCACAATGTTGCCTGCATTGAAATAACCCACTTATTTATAGTAAAACAAATCTTGCTTTCAAAAAAAAAAAAAAAATCACACTGCCAGATGTATTCTGCAGTACGAAAGCTACCTTTCAAGTTGGGGCTGCATGTCTGTTACCCGCATAATCGTAACATTATAAATACTACAGACAAAGGTACAGTCATAAGACACGATGTTGGGAGGACGGGACCACGTCTTTAGGATAAGAGTTCTAAAAACGGAGTTCAATGTCTATGCTGAATGAGTGTCGCTGGAATACCGCAGGGGACCCCCCGGTTCCCTCCCGGGATTATTAGGTTTCAGGAGAAACGAAGCGGATGTGCTCGGAGCCCTTTCTGTTCCCAAGGCGGTTTTCCAGGGACTTCTGATTTATTTTTATTTAAAAGGTTGAAGAATTCTCAAGAACAGTCAAGCTCACTGAGAAAGGACCATGCAGCGCTTACGAGACGACCTTCCAGCAGCCACACAGCTAACGAATTTTCTGCCATGGGGACAATTTTAAGGAGAACCCGGTACGGCAGGTGTGTACCTGACGGTCACACATCACAGTGTGTAGGAGGGACAGAACGGCAGGTGAGCTGCCTGGCGCAGGCTAGTTAATCCCGATCTCCTTGTTGTCCTCGATGAACCTCGTGAACGGCCGGCTGGCCCCCGTGTCGGAGCTGGCTTTGTCCAGGCCCACCATGGGTGGGCTGCTGCCCGTGCGAGCCTTGTCCATGCCGGCAGCCAGGGAGCCCACAGGGGGCATGGCGCTCCCACCCAGACTCACCGGGAGCTGGGGGATGCCCCCATTCTGGATGACGGAAATCTCATTGTTCTTCATGGCCAGACCGTTGGTGATGGCCGCCGCATACTGATTCCAGAAACTGGGGTCCACGTTCATGGCACGCGCTGCCAGGTCCTTCTGAAACATTTCCGAGAACTTCAGGGCATCGCCCCCCAGCAGAGCCATGGGGTTTTCCACCGACAGGCGGCGGCCCCGCCTCGCAGGGGCGTTGTTCCACATGTGTGTGCCCATGTGCACCTGCGTGGGAGACAGGGCGACAATCGGTGAGCAAGTGGCACGAGGCAGTGTGCCTGTGGATGCATGCCCCACTGCCATCCACACACGCGCGACTCACTCAGAACTTGTTTCCATTTCCGTTCCCATCCTACTAGTAAGCCAGTCTATATGAGGCAAACTTTTCTGAGCATCTTATGCTTCAACTAGAGGCCCGGTTCACGAAATTCGTGCACCCGGGGTGGGGGGGAGTGGGCGGTTTCCCTCAGCCCGGCCTGCGCCCTCTCACAGGCCAGGAGCCGTCAGTCGGACATCCTTAGCGTTGCCACGGAGGCAGGAGAGGCTCCTGCCACTGCTGCTGCACTCACCAGCCTTGAGCCCGGCTTCTGGCTGAGCAGTGCTCCGCCTGTGGTAGTGCACTGACCACCAGGGGGCAGCTCCTGCACTGAGCGTCTGCCCCCTGGTGGTCAGTGCGCGTCATAGCGACCGGTTGTTTCGCCAGGCGATTTGCATATTAGCCTTTTATTATATAGGATATGATTTATTTTTATTCAATACAAAAAGCAAAACCAGCCAATGCATTAGCCCTTTGAGTGCCAACCAATATCCTAGGAACTATGCTAAAATTGCCAAGGCATTTTTGCTGATTTTACAGCAGTTTAGGAAAAAAATTATGAATCGCAAGTAAATGAAGTTACATATTCAAAAACTTAAGGAAACCTTTACTACATTTGTTTTCATCTTTGACATATAAGTAATCTGCACTTAGGTGCCATCTGTCAGTAAAGAGTGAACTACTAGCATCTAATAGTGACACTGCAGGAGGAGCGCAATAGCACTTTTGGAGAAAGACAGGAGGAGCGCGACTGCGCTCCCTGGCACTCTAGGGTTAATGTTTCTTCCACTTGAGGAACTTGATAGAACACCTTCCCCTCCCCAAGGTGTGAGGTGAAGACCCCCAGAGGATGTTCCAAAGCTCAGGGCCTCTTGGCTCCTGAGCCTGGCATAGGAGGCCTCTCCCTGCCCCATTAAGTCTTCTCATATGTGAAACTCTTGGCTCCACCCTGCCTCCCTCCCAAACACAGAGGAAGCATCCTGGGCATCTCTGGTCAGCAGAGACCTCAGTAAGTAGAAGCCACAGGAATTGACCTTTTCAGTCTCTGAAGAGGTCACCAAGACCCCAGCAGGCGCCTGGCATGGCCGGAGGGCAGCACATTTAGCTGAGAGTGGGACACTGGCCGCACGTCACCTAGTGCCTGCCACACACTCTACTTCCTGGGGAACGAGGACGAAAGGCTGGAACTGAGCTATGAACACAGCGCCAGCTCTTCGCTCTGGCCTTGGGCTAGGCACTTCTCACCAAACGACCACGGCCCCCTCAGCAGCCACAGGACAAACAACAGGACCAGCTTCTGGCCTGGGGCAGGATGTGCATCAATTGTATCACGGGGAGATGTTTAAAGCCCAGCTTGTCTTGCCATCAGTGTTCCACAAGATTCTAGACAGCTGGGGCCTGGGCCTGCCCACCTGATACGGTGTCCATCACCCCAACAGGCTGCAGCGCTGCAGAGGCTGCACAAGCCCCCAAGGGGAGGGGAGATGCTCTACAGTCGAACAGCATGCACACATCCGTAACTGTGAGCGTGCGCACCTGAGTGCACGCATGGCACACACACGTATGCAGACGGCACACGCACACATGCAGACACCACACAGTACACACATACTATACATGTGCACACTACACATATGCACTCTCCCACATACACATTATATACATGCAAGGCACACACTACAGATGTGTACACACACTGCACACTCGTGCATATACATGCACACCCTGACCCACACGTGCACAGCCACCCACACATGCACACACCCACCCACACTCACACTCTGCATGTGTGCACACACCACAGGCGCTCACATATTGTTTTGCATGGGCTCTCCAGCAGCGCCTCCCCGTGGCCAGCGGCAGCCCCACCTGCCACACCTCTGGGGAGTGGAGGGCATCCCTGGTGTCCCCAGGGCTCGGGGGGGGGCCCCAGCCTGTTCCCTCACCTTGAGGTTGCCCTTGGTGGTGAAGGCTCTCCCGCAGATGGTGCAGCCGAACGGCTTCTCCCCGGTGTGGGTGCGCTCGTGGATCTGCAGGGCGCTGGCGGAGGAGAAGGTCTTCCCACACGACTGGCAGTTGTGCTGCTTGGGTGTCCGGCGTGGCGGGGGGGCCAGCATGGGCGCAAGGCCGGGGCCCATCACCGCCTGCGGCCCGGTGGGCACCTGGACGGCGGCCGGCAGTGGCGGGCCCTCACCCAGCGTGATGGCTTTGCTGTGCCCATTCACCTCCATTTTGATCATGGCAGGCGCGGAGCCGGTGACCAGGCTAGGCGCGCTTTGGCTGGGACCTAGAGCAAAGTTGGGGTCAAATAACGGAGAAGGCAGCTCTTTCAATTTGTGGGTCAGTAAGTGCTGTTTTAAATTACCCATAGTGGAGCACCCGCGCCCGCAGACCGCGCAGATGAACGGGCGCTCCTTAGTGTGGCTGCGATGGTGGATTTGCAACGCACTCCTGCAAGCAAAAGGCTTGCCACAGACACGACACATGGTGCGCTCACACTTACCCCGATCTCTGCTCAGGAACAGTAGGCTAAAGGGGGCCTCCTCCTTGATGGCCAGCCGGCCAGGGGGGGCGGACGTCAGGTCCAGCGCGCCTCCGTTTTCGGGGGCAGGGGGTGGACTGTCCGGCCTTTCCGTCTTTAGCGGAATGTCCTGTGGCTCCTCATGGTTGCTGAGGCCTGGGGACTTGGAGGGCAGGCTCTCGCTGTGGCTGTGGACGGGGGACAGGGCCTGCATGGAGGACGACGATTCGGACAGGGCCGGGCTGCCCGCACTGCGGCTCTCCAAGTCACCCACTGCGGACGAGGAGTCATTGCTGAGGCGGTCGCTGTCCCCGGACCCGTTCTCCATGGCCTTCAAGGCAGTCAGCTGCGGGCAGCTCATGACAGAGTCCATCATCTTCATCTGGTTCTCCAGCGCGGCAATGCTGGAGATGACAGACGGGGGCGAGGGCGGGCAGGAGCCCGAGTAGGGCAGCAGCGGCTTGGACGGGTCGCTGGCTGCGTCCTTCAGCTCCACATCCTCCTCCATGGAGTTCTCATCCACGTCGTCCTCGAAGCTGCTCAGGACCTCGGCAGCCTTGTCGTCGTAGGGAAGCTCGGCGTCCATGGCGTCCTGCAGGCCCTCGGGCAGCGGCGTGTTGGGGATCTGCCCGCCCATGTGCATGCGGATGTGCTGCTGCAGGACCACGGCGTTGGTGAACTTCTTCTGGCAGATGGGGCAGGAGTGCTGCACGCGCAGCGGCGGCTTCGCCCGGTGCACCCCGAAGTGTGTCTTCAGGTTGCCCTTGGTGGTGAAGGCGCGCCCGCAGATCTTGCACTTGAAGGGCCGCTCCCCGGTGTGCGTGCGGTAGTGCATCTTGAGGGCGCTCTGGCAGCTCAGCACCCGATGGCAGATGACACACTGGTTGGGGTCGGTCATCTTCTTGTCGATGTTCTCCACCAGCTGCTGCAACTTGGACGTCTCCGACGTCTGCATGGAGTCGAGCAGCCCTCCGAAGGGAAACTTGGCCTTGAACTGGTCAGAGCTGGCCACGAGGACCGGGCTGCAGAGGCCAGTGGAGATGCTGTTGTCCGTGAGGGTGGTGGCGGCCGATGTGGATGTGGCAGAGACCTGCCCGCCGGAAGGGATGTCCCCCACCCTGGCATTTGCACAAGGCAGGCTCACAGGCTCGGTTTTGGTCAGAGAGGACCCACTGAGCACAGGCT